CAAATCACAAGGTGTGCTCCAGGTGATGAATTACGTAATTTCCCCAACTGGACATTGTCCTTGGCAGACCCTGGGGAAAATGACTAGTGGGAACCTTTATGAGCTTGCTATTCTGTAGAAGCCTAGAATATTTGAGCCCTTCCCTGGGCTTGGCAGAGTATCTAGAAAACTTGGGTTTAGATTTGGCCTTAGAAGACCATGCTCTCCAAATCCAATATCCATCTTTGCTTCATATTACTTTTCAAGGGTCATCATTGCCTGAGCAGAAGGGAGCCCATAGCTTTTAAAGATCTCCTACGGTGGCCAGCAGTAGCCAGAAGGTTATTAGACTCCTCTGTTCCAAGCTGGGACATCATTACTTAACTTGGATACTGAGAGGGTCTTTACAGGGGAACTTAACTCAAAGTCTTCAGAGGCAGCTCTAAGTCAATATGGCTATGTCTTTATAAACAGGAGAATTTGAGTACAGGAACATACAGAAGGAAGGTAGTTCAAAGATACAGGGATATGATCACACAAACCCATGAAGACAGCCATTAAGAAAGGACCAGCGAAGTGGCTCAGAGGGAAAAGGTACTTCCTGCCAATGTGACAACCTGAGTTCAATACCCAGGAGGAAGGAGACAACCAATTCTTAAAGTTTTCCTTTGACTCCTACAAGTGTGCATAGGTGCGCACTTGTACATAAACACACACATACATACACACACACACACAAATAAATAAATAAATGCAATAAAAAATAAACCACCGTGAGAGGTTTGGAGTAGATCCCTCTCAACTCTTCAAGTAACCAACTTTACTGACATTTTGAGTTCAAACTTCCATAACCAAAAAAAAAAAAAAAAAACAACCTCTGCTGCTTTAGCTACCCAGCCTTTTTATGACCATTCTAACAAACGAATCAAGCTCCCAACTTTCTTTTCATCTGCTTCACATTTCAATCACAGCAGCCCATCCCCTAGCGACAATGCAATGAGCATGTCTTTCGTCCTTTGACTATGGTCCCTTCCTTTATTTTGAAGCCTTTGCAAAGGCTGGACCTTCTGCCCACAATATTCTCTACCCATTTGCTTCCTACCCCTTCTGTAATTCATACTTTGGTCAAACGCTCTTCTCTGGAGCCTTCCTGTGCACCTTCCATTTCCACCAAGACTTTATTAAATACCCTTCTGGTAGCCTATACTATGTGCTTCGCAGATTATATACCATCTTGTATCTATTTGTCTCTGTACTCTAGACAAAGGCAAAGTTTGTCTAGAGCAGGGTGTAGGGGTTTGAATGAGATAGTCTCCAAATAGTCTCTCTAGATCCCTACTTGGTGTCTGTTTGGGGAGGATTCGGGTATGTGGCATGGCTAGAGAAAGTAGGTATGTCCCTGGAGTGGGTGTTGAGATTTCAAAATCCACATGCTAAGACCAGTTTGTTCTCTGGGCATTCTACTCGTCGTAGAGCACTTGGGTCTCAGCAGCCGCTCTAGCTGCTGGCCCCTGTTACCTACTAACTACCTCTGCCCCATTGGACACTAGTGGACTATTCTTCTACAACTATAAGCCAAATGAACTCTTTCTTCTGTAAGTTGCCTTGGTCGTGCTATTTTATTATAGCCATAGAAAAGTAACTAAGACACAGGGGTTACGTAGTGAAGCTGTCTCGGGCTTTTCAGGTTGCATCATCCCTTGGAGTAATTGTGGTGGTATTGTGTTCCCCAAAATATTGTGTACCTTAATAAACTTATCTGGGGTCAGAGAACAGAAAAGCCACAAGATACTTAGGCTAGAAAATATTAGCACACGCCTTTAATCCTAGCATACCAGAGACAGAAATCCCTCTGGATATCTGTGAGTTCAAGGCCGCATTGGAAACAGCCAGGCATGGTGACTCATGCCTTTAATCCCAGAAAGCAGCTTTTAATCCCAGGGAGTGGTGGTAGAAAGCAGAAAGGTTTATAAGGCGTGAGGATCAGAAACTAGAGGCATTTGCCTGGTTAAGCATTTGGCTGGTTAAGCATTCAGGCTTTCTAGCAGCAGTTCAGCTGAGAGCCATTGGGATGAGGACACAGAAGCTTCCAGTCTGAGGAAACAAGACCAACTGAGGAATTGGCAAGGTGAGATAGCTGTGGCTTGTTCTGTCTCTCTGATCATCCAGTGTTCACCCCAATAACTGGCTTCAGGTTTGATTTTATTAATAAGAACTTTTAAGACTCATGCTACAAGTAATAGCATTCCAATTTTCCCTTATAAAATCCCACCATCCCCTCTGTTATCAATGAGATTGAAATGGTCCACTCTTTAGCTTGGGGATCTAGGCCATGAAAACGAACTTGTGCCTGATTCTCCAGGCTACAGAGACTCATGAGAAACTCAGACGGTGACAGTCAACAGTGAAACTTCTGCTGAAACCCTTAGGAATGAGTTCTCTTGTGCTGGAATTTTTACATTTTGTTGATATTAAGCATGATCTTGTAATTATGCATGAGTTGTGCAACAACCCCAGTGTTAGGGAAGAACAAGGTGAGAGAAGGCAGTGCGACCCTACAGAGAAAGAACAGTTCTCATCTGAACCAGGTTTGCAGATCTGTCTCTGAGCCAAAGGTCATCCATGGCATCAGAGGTCCTCCATGGGATCACATAGTCTCCAATGAGAAAACAACAGATGGGAACAACCTTAAGTGAGAAAAGCAGATACAAAAGTCTACATCTTAGGGGTGGTGTGTATATCCAACAGGCCGTCTTGGTCCCCAACTGACTCTATGCATTCTTTAGTTTGCACTGTTGCTGAACTGATGAAAATATCGGCTTGATTAGGATGCATTAATGTGTGCACACGCGTGCATTTCAGTAGCAACGTTAATGCAGTTTGTGGGTCTGTGCACATTCACTGTGTTTGTTAGCGTGACCAGTGGTGAGCACAGGCAGGGGCTTTGGAGGTGAATGAGTCAAAGTCTGGTTCTGGGCTCTGCTAATTTATAAGTTATAGCACCCTAGACAATTTACTTAGCCTCTCTGGTCTGGGCCTCAGTTTCTTCACCTGCAAGATGGGGATCACAGTGGTACCACTTCTCCAGCTGCTGAACAGAGAGGACAGACAGTACACACACAAAGAACAGCATACCCATATTATCTGGTCAAAGAAAAAAATGTTTACATCTCTTTAAAATAAACATTTTATTTAAAAATATATGTATTTTTTTTTAAAAAAGGACACATGCCAACTTTGGTATTTTAGCCATTGCTTCTTCGCTCTCCCAGTGAGCCACATTTCTCTCATACTATACAGAGCAAAGGAGACCAACGTGAAAACATCACCATACTGGGGCCAAGAAAACCATGCTTGCTTCCTTGTTCTTTCCCAAACACTGCTTTGTGTTCCACTGAAGGTTGATTTTTCATATCCTAGCTATCCTTTGCCCTTGGTCCTTTTGACAAGGTCATTGGAACTGAGCCCTGGGAACAAACAGCATGGGTCTTGCTCCTTTGGAAAACACTTAAAGAGCTTCCTGGATCATCTTGCTGTGCCCCTTTGCCCCTTAGGACATCAAAACCATCTAGAGGGAGCACAGCCTCCCAAAGTCCATCGTCATGGGAACCTGGACTTTGAATGAGCACCAGAGCCCTGCAGGGTTTCGCTTGTGGGAGTGTCATGGATTCCTAGGATCAGAAGGGACCTCATGCTTGCTGAATCCAGTGGGTGCTTGTACAATATCCCCGGCAGATGGCCACCAAGTTCTTCCCAAATCCCTTCCTGTCTTGAAACCATTTCCGTACAGATTGTCCTCTCCTATCAACTGCTTCTGGACACAACTGACCAGATCTCGGCACTATGGAAACATCTTGTTCCAGGACCCTGACTCTCCACGTCTTCTGTTGATGTCATCTGTCTAGGAAGTCTTAGAAGTTTCTGCCTCTACACCTCCCTGCTGTTTTATGTTAGACTCATCAGGACTCCTGGTTTCTTTACATCTGACAGCAAACTGTGCCCCAGCAGCCATGGGCTTCTTCCTGTGGGGCATGCAGCGAGGAGCTGAGGCGGAGCAGCAGGGACAAATGGCCTCTAGTCTCTCTGAAGCTTTTCTCTGGAGGGAGAGAGGCTGACCATGGACACACACCCTTCACTTCTGTCCCTTTTGTCCAGAGATCTTACCGTGTTGACTTGGGATTAGGCAAAAAAGGGAAAAAAAAGTTCCCTCTACACTTTCCTTGTTTCCAAAGGGCTTTTCTGTCTGGTAAAACAGCCCCAAACTTTGCCCAGGTTAAATGGTGAGAGACAGAGCTCCAAGATACACTACTGTCCTGTGACCCTGGTAGAAAAGACAAGACAGTGTGGTGAGAGCTTTTCATGAAAACGGTCTAATGTTTCTGGAAAAACCAAGACCCCTTCATCACAGCTAAGAGGATTCAAGTGCAAGGCCTGACAGGGTCTCAGCATTCTTGCTTAGAGAAGCTGCGGCACTCCAGACAGTCAACACCTGTGCTGAACCAGGTCCTTGTGCTCTGTACACGGTGGACATCAGCGGCCACTCCCTGGATGGTATCCATCACGTGGGAGTTTTCAGCCTGACTAGCTCTAGGAAAGCTGATTGGTTGAACATAAAATAGATAACTTTTGAGAAGAACTGTTCTAAAAACTTGTGGTAGATTTTATTCATTTTTGTCCCCAATTAATGTTTTTGAAAGGCATTAAGACTGCCATTTCATAGACTCTCCAGATGGAGGCTGCGTTGATGTCCCTGTTTATGGGTGGAATCACTCCATTGCTCAGAAGGACTTCCTTCTTCTAAGTTTGTGTTTCACTATTTCTGACATCATAGCTGAACCAAGAGGTTCATGGGTCAGGAAGTTGGTCCCTGATTGTCTTTTCTCCTCCCTTCCCTTCCCTACACCCTCCCTTTCTCCTCCTTCCCCCTTCTCCTTCCTTCCTTCATTCCTTCCTTCCTTCCTTCCTCCCTCCCTCCCTCCCTCCCTCCCTTCCTTCCTTCCCCTGCCCCCTTCCTCTCCTCTCCTTCTTTCTCCCTGTCCTCCCCACCCCTCCTTTTCCTTCTCTTCCTTACTCCTGCACACTCCTTCTCCCTATACCTTTTGTCTCGATAGCACTGTCAGAAGCAGAGGCATCTAGCTTGGGGGGAATTTGGACTCCTTTAGATCTAGTGCAATCTGCTGTTCTGTAGCCAAGACTCTCCTTACTATGGGGATATTTCAGGCATCTTAACCATGTGGTCCCTTGGGGCTCCTAGGAACACTGTTAAACCCAGGGGCACCCATCTCTGCATACCTCATGTTGTCACCACAAGAGGACACAACAGTTTAAAAGAACCTAAAGTTTAAAAAAAAAAATAGAAGACAGCAGAATAAACCCAAGTATTTGATCCGTCTTCATCAACCCTCTCTCGGTTGTCTCCAGTCTCCTATCTGTGCTATGAAGATGGGTAAACATGACCTGGGGAGATGGTGGGAGCAGGCTGAGACCAAGTATCCAGGGACCCACTCTAGATGTTTTGGCTTGCAGTAACAAACCAGAGCCATCTTCCCTTTCGTCTACTGTGAAGTGTGTGTATCAGTTTGAATAATATTTTAAAAAATCCCCCACAGTCTAGCTAAAAAACAGAGCCATCTAATCGCTCAGGCAGGAATTCCCAAAGGGAAAATTATTACCACTCAGATGAGGGGCTTGGAGGCAGGACACTGTGTGGGTTTGTTTTCCAAGGAAGCAAGGAGGGGATAGCATATATGGGATAGCTGGAGCTTAAAAAATACACAGGGCAGCAAGCTTCATCCAGACTCAGATGAAACATCAGCATCGGAGGTCAAACCAATGTTTGGAATGTGGCAATCAAGGTTTTTCCCCATAGCTTCATCTTCATGCTAAGCTTTGTCTCTGGATTTGTGGTTCTGATGATGGACATACAAACACAATGAAAAGTTTAGCACGTAGACCCTTTCAAGCACAATGCAGATCAAGGAATGTCAGAACAAATTTCATGCTCCCTTTAGACTCTCTGTAAGAGAAGGCACTAGCCTTGGCAGCCACTGACGGCGAAGCTGCTCTGTCCTATCACATCTAAATTCATTGCCAGGCTCTGTCCTCTCATGTCCATATTCATTGCCAGGAGGAGCTTGTTCACGGTAGCAAGTGGCTACTAGCATTGGGCTGGAGTCCTTAGTCATATACAGGCATATACGTGTAGTCTGGTTGATTAATAAGCAACTCATAGTAAGAAAGGCCACACATCATTCACAGCAGACTGAGGGTTCAAGGCACTCTGAATGTCACCTTCCAGATATGTGCACACATATGCATTTATATACATATGTGTCCATGTGTGTGTATACACATATTCCATACACGCATGTATAGAACTACATGTGTGTGCACATCTGTGTGTTTCCTTCCCTACAGTAAGATCTGGTGGCTTTCAGAGTAGCAGTCACCAAAAACACTCAGTGTTCAAACATTTTTTTTAACAAGTTGACAATGGAATGATTTCTAAATCTTTGGTTTATCAAAAAGACAACTTCTAAAAAATTCACAACATTGTTGATTATTTTCTCTATAAGTGCACAGTGAAATTTTTTTTTTTTTTTACAAAAGAAGAAAACAGTGCCTGTGTGATTTAAATTAAAACAAAACAAAAAACAGCAACAGCTACTTTCTATAGCATGCAACATTGTAACTACTAGAATTGGTGCCACAGCGAGCCTGGGAAGAGACTCTTGCAATCTGTGTTGCCTTCCTCTGTCTCCCCTGGGCCCTGACCAAACACAGGGGCTGTGAAGAGCTACTGAAAGACTATGGCCTTTCAGCCTCCCATTGTTTTCAATGTGCAAGCACGCTTTCCTTTGGAAACCTGACTGAAATGCTCTCCACCGTAGATGTCACCCTGATTTATCTTCACTCTCTAACGATTTCCAATATCCCCAGAGCAACACAAACCAAAGATTGTCCATAAATCAAACAAGAATAAAACAAGCTCTGTGACCAATGGGCCACATCCCCAGTTTCTTCCTAAGGAAATACTTGTGAATTCTGTTTGCAGCCAATGGGCGTGTGAAGAACGAGTTTGGCAAGAGAGTTGGGACTCTTAAATGTTCTAAAAAAAAAAAAAGAAGAGGAAAGGCTTTAATAGGAGTATTGCAACTTGTGATAGCTGAGAATCTCACCTTTCTCAGTGTGTGGGAGAAAGAAGAGAAAGAGAGAGAGACAGAGAGAGACAGACAGAAAGAGAGATCATCAAAACCAAAAGAGCCATAAAGGTTTGATCCCTTGAAAGGAAGTAGTGAGAGGATGATAAACTGAGGTGAAGATAAACTGAGGTGAACTTCCTCTGCCCATAATACAAAAAGAAAAGAAAGAGGAGGAAGAGAAGAAGGAAGAGAAGAAGTTGGCCCTGTATGTTAGTCCTATAATAGAAATCCATGGTATTTCTCTCCCAGAAGGTGAAATGACGTTGTTCTCTAATTCTAACTTGTCCCAGTATGACTTCCTGGGCCTCCCTTTGCCTTTCTGATTATTTTACTTCTAGTCTTTGGAACTAGAGGTAGTTATATTTCAGAGCCTCCATGTCCACGGCATGAGGTTTTTTTTGATTCAGGTTTCTCACTTTCTATACATCACTGATGAGCATAGATATGTCAGAAACAATCAGGCTACTGGTTACAAAGTAACATGTTCTGGATGGATTCTCTGGACAATGCTAGTTACTTAGCTGCTGTCAGGGACCGCCAGTCCAGTGGGACAATTTGGGGGTGGAGGGACACTGAGTTGCTTTGCTTTTCTTGGAATGGATTGGTTTTGTCCCTTTCTTTTGCCTTAAGGACTCTATCAGCTGAAATGGACCCTGCTCTTCTGACGGATAGACACTGGTCATGTGGGAAGTTGCCTCCACCAGGGCATGGTTTCCAGAACCTCCGAGGGACTGGCTTCCCTGCCCTCCCCAGAGGCTTTATTTTCCTTCCACAGAACATTTAGTAAATTCATAACAAAAGCTAACAGTGTGAGTTTATGCCCCCAATAATGCCTGAGACAAACTGTAGTGTGAACCTATGTCCCAGTAATGCCTGAGACAAACTGTGGGCTAGAAAAGGCAGTGAAAGACGTTTTTGGCATTCTTAACCTGAGAAAGCACACTTTTGAGTGCATCACTCAAGTTATTAACAGTTACTGAAGGTTGGTAGAAATTACATTATGCATATCTTAATGACTGACTCCTGTTTGTTCTGGTTGATTGACATAGAAACCTCCATTGCTGGTTTTTTTTTTCCCCTCCCTATTTTTCCCCCTTTATCTTTTGGATCACACAGTATCTCTGGTTGTGTGCTTTCCCCATGGAATTCCTATCAAGCTTCCTTAACGCTTGTACCTCAGGTGTTTACCACTGCTGTAAGTGGAGGTCCATGGGGGAATTCAAATTGAGATCTGTGACATCCAGGAAATCGATGTTGAATATGCTGGGGCCACTGGTGGTGAGGTTGCTGAAGCCTGGTGTGGAGCTAGGGGGAGTAAGGTCCAGCCATTCCATTGTTTCCCAAGGCGATTCTGTGAAGCTCAGCTGCAGACCACTGCTGTCCACTGAAGAGGGTGATAACTGCGTATGCATTGGGGAGAGGGGCCCAGGCAAGAGCTCGTGCGCACTGAAGAGGTCTTCGGCAGCCTTCCCTGGGAAGCCATCCATGATTCCATCAAAAGGAGTCTCCTCATTTCCAATTTTGAGGAGGGTAACATCACTCACTTTTCCCATGGGGCTGTGAGAATTCAATAAGACTTCTAGGTGTTCATCACTGTCGGTGGCATAGTGGTCAAAGGAGAGCTGACCTCCTGAGGATGCCTGTTCAAAGGAAGCCGAGGGCTTGGAGAGGATGGTGGTAGGGCTGTGGGAGGACCCAGGTATCTTTGGGACTTTTTGGAGACATGAATGATCTTCCCTGGCATCAGCAGGCATTTCTGTTGGGAAAGCACAGTGTGAATTGTTCAGTCACCTCAAACTGGCCATGCCACATGATGAGTCCTTGGAATAAATGAGTTGCTCTACGGAAAACACAGTAGATGACCATGCTTTCCTGCTCAGCACTTAACCCTGGGCTCACCCCTACCTTTGCTGTCTCTCCATTTCTTTCTTCTTTAGGTTACCCCAAATACTCCTGCCTCGGAACTTCCCCCCTGTTATGGCCAAACTCTTCATGCTTGTGTCCTTACTCCCTTCACTACCACTAGCTGTCACTGGAGGACATTGTATCTCCATCATACTCTCTGTTGGACAGCAAATGAGGGATGAGTGTCATCCACAGTTCATTTTATGTTGATAACCCCCCCCCATCACTCCTTAGTGGTTTTTAGGGCAGCACATTTCCCTAGTTGAGGCCTGCTGACCACACTTGCTCATCTTTTGGAAACTATTCCTTAGTTCACAGCCATTTTGCCAGGTCAGTGTTTATTAGACTATAGTAGCCTTAGAAATCACACACTGCTCCTTGTCCTTCCCATCCACTCCAGTGATGACAGCATCCCCACTCTGTTGGATACCTTGAGCCCCATCCTTGCAGAGTACATCCTTCCAAGAACTCCATCTTAAGCAGGATTTCCCACACTCTGTCCTTCCCCATCTCTAGGTCATGGATGAAGTATTCCAGCTCGATTCTTTCTTTTCTTTGTTTTTTTTTTTTTCTAGACAGGGTTTCTCTGTGTAGTTTTGGATTTCATTCTGTAGACCAGGCTGGCCTTGAACTCACAGATATCTGCCTGGCTCTGCCTCCCGAGTGCTGGGATTAAAGGCATGTGCCACCACCACCTGGCTGATTATTTCTAAGACACTCTTTGGTACCTAATCTACTGGCTGTACTATTGACCATTGCATGTCAGTGCCTCCCACATCACTTCTTCCCTTGTTTGCATCATATTCTCTGATCCACTGTTACAGTTATTCCTACCTTTTTGCCCTTCTCTCCCAGCTTAGCAAAACTCTCCACCCTGGTAAGTCCCCATGTACTTTCTCTTAGCCTGCTCCAAGGTAGCTGGGTATAGAATGAGAACAACAGTTCCACTGGGCTGGCTGGAGTTACTGTCAGTTGATGGCATCAAGCCCTCTACTTGCACTTAATTCAACCTGACAATCTTGTATTTCTCTATAAAGCTCAACTTGTTCATGACTAACTCATGGCTATCCTTCCCTAGACTCTCCCACACTCCCTTCTGTGTCGTCGATACTCTGCCTCCTTGCCACATACTTCAAAAAAAAAGGAGCACCTGGTATGAACAGTCATCTTGCATCACAAAACTGTATCCATCTCTCTCATCCTCCTTGTTATGATAAGAAACACAGGTTCCCTTGCTCACTGTCCATCTTCCTTACCAGACTGCATTTCACAGAATTATCTGGTGGGGAATTGAGCTTAACATGATGCTTGGCATTCCATCTCTGAGTCATTGACTGCTGCCTGTTAAACTACAAGTGCTGGTGATTAAGAGTTCAGCCCCATGTTCTTGTTTGACCTACACAATGCTCCTTCAGACCTCTGATTCTTTTGTGTGTTTTCAAATTCTAGGCACACATTCTGTGGTAGTTCTTACATAAATGGATGAATGGGTTAAAGTACACACTGGCTACTTTTATTGCTAAGTTGAGTAACATTTAAGCATGAATGGGGTATCCAGTGGGAGATAGCTGGTTGAATTTCAATTTGAGTAGTGAGTGCAAAACTTTCACTATTTTCATGTTTTTTTCTTTTTGTAATCAAGAAGATAAGGATTAGAACTGCAGAAAAATGATGTAATAATGGACCACACTTATAGAGATGGGTTGAAAGGAAACATGCAAAGCATCCCCAGGATAAAGGTGGTGAGAAATCCACCATGGTTCTCTTCTCTGCTAACAAGGCACACCTGAAGCTCAGAGGCAGTAACTCTACCAGCAGATCACCTGGTGTACCTTACTCAGTGTATCCCTGACCTTGGTCATAAGAGGCCGTGTCCTAGAGTGTGTACATCTATCTGTGGAGGGTCCTGATGGACAGTGGGCAAGGTAGTCTTACCTCCACTTTCAATGAGGACATCCAGGAGTTCATCCATCTGCTGACTCCGAGTCATTTGCTATTTTAAATTAGCCAAAAAGAGAGCAGAGAGGTTAGAAGGTGGTTACTTCCGTATGGAGACAGTAGAAGCAGCACTGTAGGGCTTTGGGCTAGGCTTGCTTAAGGATTCAAAAAAAGCATAGTAAAATAGAGCATAACAAAAACTTGTAGGCTTATCATTTTAAGTGTACATTCACTTTTTAATGCAATCATCAACACCATGTACCCTCAGAACTCTTTTAATCTGCAAAACTAAAACTCTCGACACATCAAGCAACACCTCCCAATAGCCCTTTGCCAACACCAATACTCACTACTCTCCTTCCTGCCTCTAGAAATTAGACTACTTTTGGTCTTAGACTGAATGGTGCTCTGGAGTGTGACTCTGCCACATTTTGTTTTACCATTTGCTTGTTGATGGATACTCAGGCTATTTCTACTTCTGACTGAAGTGAATAATATTGTTAAGAGCTTAGTTAGACCTGCTAAAGGGCTTTGGTCCATGTTTAATCAAAAATCTTAGTGTAAATTGTACACAGATAATCCACTGAACTAGATAATCCAACACAACAAGAATGAGGAAGTTGGGAGAGGGATCCTCGCCTCAGGATTCAGGTCAATTGTCTGGCAAGTTTCCATCCCAGAAGCAGGCATCTTAATATGCAGCATATACCTTTCTCACTTTGGAAGCCACTTGTCTACCTCTGTTTGACTGCTGTGGATATGGCCCAGGAAGTAGGCATCAACTTTCTTGGTTCCTCTTGCAGAATCTGTGAGTCTACCCTCTGAATGGTTAAGCACAGTCTTACTTCTCCTGGGATTTTCAGAAGTGAGAAAGCCTACTGCATGCTATCTTTTGATAGCAAAGGAAACCTTACTGCCTTGGTTTTGGTTTCAAGAGACCAGATATCAGGCAGCATCTGACATAGACGCTCTGTTCTGGGTTGGGTACATAAATATGGTTATTTGATGTCATATATAAACTCAAAATACTTGATCTACTCATCCTTTAGTACTGTTGGGAGCTAATTTCCAGGAGCATTCACCCTTGGTTTTCAAAATCTTCAGGTGCTCAAGTCTATTCTATAAAATGATTTAGTATTTGCACAGAACCTACACCTGTCTCCCTGCCTCGCAAGTCATCTCTGGAGCTTGCTACATAGTACTGTGTAAAGGCTGTGAAAATAGCTACTGTCCTGTGTGGCTTTGGGACCAGTGAAAAGAAGAAGAGGTATATGCTCTGTACAGGTGAAACTGTGACATGCCTAACATAGCAAGTGAGACCTGACTCTTGGCACTCCCAATGCAAATGCTGAAGAGACAGAGGATCTGTGAAACGGCCAGAGGCTGACTCGAGACAAGACAGACAGCCCTTTCATTTGGATGGATTCAACATTGTACTTGGCATGTAGAAAGTTCAAGGGGTGCATGGGGGGCCTTTCAGGACTTATTTCCCTAATGTGTTCAAGCTATGGCTGCTAGGATGCAGACACTGAGGGCTGACTGTATAACGTCACCCATGTTTTTCTTTTCCTTACTTTTTAAATTCTGAAGCGTCTTCAAACACAAATGTAAGTGTTGGAGTCAATGAACCTCCCTGTATCTATTACTCAGGTTCAACAACCATCAACACTGTTTCAAGGTCACTGAGTTTTAAAGCTAAGACATTAGGAAAATATAGTCTTGATAATTGCTCTCATATTTGAGCACCTGTCATGTGACCAAACAATGAGGTAAGTACTAGATGATCCATAATCCTTACAAAGTCAGTACTTCTATTTTCTTGAAGAGAAGTTGAGTGTGTATCCTCCTTAGTGACAGTGGCAGATGACAGAGTTGGCATTAAGGCCAGGCCTTTTGAATGCCTGTTCAGCCTGCTGTCCCTGAATCCTCAGCTTACCACAGGGTTATGGCCAGGTAAAGACACCCTAAACTGATACCATCATAGACGAAAATGCATTGTACACATGCAGTCCACAGCACACCCTACTTCAGCAACACAGCATGCTGTAGAGCACCTGGTTTCTCTTGTGATTGGGCAGTTGATTAGGAACTGTGGCTCACTCTGGCTGCCCAGCACCCAGAACGCTGTACCACATGCTACCAGATCACAATAAAGCCCAAATTCAAAATGCAATTTGGATCAAATATGAACATTTTATAATACCATAAAGTAGAAAAGTCATCAACAGAGCTATCCTAATTTGGAGCTATCTGTACAGATATACAACATAGTCTTCAGGTCATGTAGATACACTTTGTTCACTCTTATTGGGAAGGTACCTAGCCCACTCAACATCAGAATCTACCAAACATGCAATGCTTAAAACTACAAAGCTTTGTCTGCTGAGTCCTTTTATTGAACCATCTAGAACAAGCCATGTGGTTACCTGTTTTACTGCATCTTCATAGGATGGGGGCTGGGTTATCTCTGAAACTGCTGAACTTGACTTGGAAAAAGTTGGGGATGGAATTGAAAACTTTGGTCCAACCTTGTCAGAAGATTGCAAGCCAGTCATCTGCAAGTGAATATAATCCAGAGAACAACATTCAATCCATGGGTACCAAGGGACAATGCTTGTTTCTAGAAACCACAGGTTACATTGAAAAAAAAATGCCAATGGAGATGAAGAGATAGCGAACAACACTAATAGGTTAACACCAGTTCTTGCCACTGGGGATTTGTTAATGGAATCTTGGCATGGAACTCACTGATTTATTTCTTCCCCTAAAGTGTACTGTCTTCTTTTCTTTCTCTTCCTTCCTTCCTTCCTTCCTTCCTTCCTTCCTTCCTTCCTTCCTTCCTTCCTGTCTGTCTTTCTTTCTTTCTTTTTTTAAGACAGGGTCTCGCTGTGTAATCCTAGATATCCTGGAACTCACTATATAGACCAGACTGGCCTTAAACTCTCACAGAGACATACCTGCCTCTGCTTCCTGAGTGCTGGGGTGAAAGGCATGTGCCCCCATACCTACCAAGTGCATCATTTTCTACTGGATGATAAGAAAGGGACATGAGTTCAATCCAATACAAAGAAGGTCTTTAACCCAGGGATTTTCAGAACAATTCATTCCCTAGGTCAATTCATTCTAAACTGGGTCATTTTCACACAGATACCATGAGTGTGGACTTCTATAGGTGCCTAGCCTGTGAGGGTCTCTATTCCTTTGCTGACGTGAGGCATGTGGCACAGTTATGGTGTGTCCACCTTTTGCCTGTGTTATTCCCATCACTCTCTCTGCTCTGAGAACTCCCTGCATCCTGACTCTTTATATCCCCATTCCTTTCCCCAGCTTACGAGCATCTTCTCTCACATCCTCTACAGAGACTTGACTCTGGACCCCAGTTTTCCATTTTCCTTAATATTAATCTGTTATGTATCCATCTCTGTCTCCAACACTATTTTCCCCCAGGGCTCCTGTTTCAATCCTGACCCTCACAGAAACTGGTTGGTTGTCAGCTTCTCTGGTACTGACCTTTGGATGAATAACTGGGCTTTTGGGGCAAGGGTTGAGCCCAGCACTATGACTGCTGTCTGCTTGGTTGGCAGAGAAAGGTTGATGGAGGCTGGAAGATGGCGGGGAAAAGCTAGTAGGATGGCCTTCGTGTGCACCTGAGTTCTGTAGAAAGGAACATGTGACAAATTAAAGAGCCAGCAGCATACGTGAGTGTGGCTTTAGCTGACACTTTTGGCCCCTATCTTTTGCCCCCAGGTTTCTGATATTTACGAAGCTTCCTGAATTCTACTAGCAGATGACCGTGTCTAAAATCTGGCTTGGCATATGTCACCTATGGGTCACAAACTTCCACTAGCTCTCACACATCCGCAGCATAGATTCCACACACCTCACCTGTGTAAGAGTTTAAGACTTTCTATGACTATAGGCGTTACCTAGTTCTACGAACCTGAATTCTCCTCCTGTAACCATGCCTTTTACATTCTACCTACTTATCTTGTTCACATGGAGTATCTGTTTCCCATTTAGACTTTCCAAAAACCCTTCAGCTTCATGGACAAAAGACAAGTCTACTGAACTCCTGACCCAGCCTTCTCCTTTTTAGTGCTACTGTGAAGGGCAAATTGGTGACAAAGCCTTCCAGGACTCTGCCAGCACTTCACCATCAATCTCTCCCCTACCCACCTAGTCTGTGCTGCATTATTTAATGCCATAGATTAGTCATGTTATCTGCTCTTCGTGAAATTGCTACTGTCCTATAGAGTCTTTGTAAACAAATTGTACCATCTTATTCCTCCCCAATAGCACCAATATCCTTAAAATGGAAAATCATGGCCCAAGGGCTATTTTTACCTTTGTTGTCTAGGGTACCATGCATGCAATAGATGTTTCTGAATGGTGTTGATAGGCTATTTTAGTCCACATGCCTCCCAGTATGTTCCTTCAGGAGTGGGTACCACTGATTTGAATGCATTGTTCAGGTAGGTTTGTGAAAGTACACTCTCATTACCTCCAGGATAGCGATATTTCATTATAAACTTTAAAATCAACTAATCCTGACATTCTAGGCAGTGAGTTCAGTCTTCCTGGATCTCATTTTTCTCAATGTCAAATAAAAACACTAAACTGGAGCCACAGGGTGCTGTGACAGTGGACAGATAGCTTCTGTTCATTCCTCTGGATACTTGGCAGTTACCCAATGTGGGTCATTGTCTTAGATTTTATAATCTGACAATGTGGCTTTCTTCTTCAAAAAGTCTTCTACACACTTTCCTAATAATCCGTTAGTTTCATGAACAAAAGGAAAGACTCTGTGGATCATGTTGGGTGTAGTCTTTGAACTGTTCTTCTTCTACAGCTCTTTTCTTATTATGTCCCAGACTCACACTGGCTTTCGGTCTGATCCTCTGGCGTTCTACTTTCACCTCATGCTTCTCCCATACCTTCACCCCAAATATTAACAATGTTTCCTCCTTTACCTCTTCCAAGGTTCCCCTTCAACATTTCTGACCCCTTTAGAGGAGATTGTAAACTTCCAGCCTTCTCACAGAACCTAGTCCTTCTCTACTCTCTCCTCAAGACAGACCATCAATCTCCTATTTCCTCACCACCTATCACCTGTTGTCCCCTCCCCCGACCCCCTCCAAAGTGTGGCACATGGCAGGTCTCAATAAATATTCGATACTAATGTAAGAGAAGGAGAAGTCCTTTCTCACACACAGGCTGTCTCTCTGTCTCCCCAAACCCACTCCATGCCTCCAAATGTGGTCTTAGGATGTAACCTAAGCTGACCTCAAACTCACAGCCATCCCCTGCCTCAGCTTCCAGAGTGCTGGAATTCCAGGCCAGTACCACCATGCCTGACTTCCTTTTGGCTCTCTTGATAGAATGATTTGAGCTTTGATAAGGGTTGATATTAAACCACTTGGAGAACATTAGTCAGCAAACAATAGCCCACAAGCTCAATGTTGCTTGGGGCCTGATTTTGTAGGTAACTTTCTTTTGGACAGTTATGTGTTCTTACAAACTGTCTGTGGGTGCTTGTTTGCTGCAAGGGCAAAGCTGAGGACTTTGGCACAGACGCTATGATTTCCAGACATTTGCCTTCTCAGCCTTTCTAGAACGACTTTGCCAGCCCACGATGCAAAGACTGGCTGTGGGGACTCAAGGTCGCTAGAGTCAGTAAGGTACTGCCAGCTTCTAGGAACCCCTTCCAGCTCTCTAGAGGTAGGAGTCCATCTCCTGAGACACACTTTTAGTGAGGCCACACTTTCTTACCTGTGCGCACCCTTGGCTGCTGCTAGGTGAGGCGACCCCATGACTCTCTCTCTGCGCCCCCGAGGAGGAGGAGGCCAGGAAGTAATGGTTGTTGGGCGATGGGGGCAGACTGATGTGCTGCGGGCTCTTCAGGGTCCCCAGGGGCGAGTGCTGAGGGGAGCACTGGGGGCTGAGAAACGTGGATGAGAGTACATGGCTTTGACCTGAGGACTCCACACAGTGGGGCAGCAGCTGAGCAGTCTCACAGGCAGGAGGGGGACTGTCGGAGCTGTGGCCCTGTCCCTTCCCAGACACTGGCTGGGCTGCGAAGGGACAGCTAGAGACGTCTTCCTGCTTGATGGTGGCGGCCAAGAAGGGCAGCGGCTTTTGGTCGCCGCAGCCGCTCTTCTGCTTCTGCAGCTGCATCCTCAGCTCTTCCACCTGCCGCTGCTCCTGCCGCAGCTTCCAGGTGAGCTGGTTGATTACCTTTTGCTTCTCCACCAGCATCTTGTCCTTCTCCGAGTCTAGCCCATCAGGCTCCGAGGGGCCTGAGCCCCCATTCAGGCTGCTCAACAGGCTCTCCTCGGTGCAGGTAGGCACCGGGGACGCATGCAGGCCGAAGCCAGGCGACGCATCGGTGAAGGTGTCTGGCAGGGACCCCGCAGCCGACAGGTCAGATGAAGCCGGGGAGATGGGTGGGCTGGAGCTCGTGCTGCCGAAGTGGTAGAAGCCTGACGGGGAGGACTGATAACTGGGCAAGGTGTTGGGCGTGACAGGGAAGGTGACCGTCGTGATGTCCCCGAAGTTGGGCACAGGGTTGCCAGCACAGTCCTGGAAGGGTCGAAGCCTGTCCACCAGTGCCGTCTTGGTGCCCGACACCGGCAAGCCTCGTATTCGAAGCTGTTGTCTTAACTCTGACACCTACGGGAATAAAGGCTTCGTTAGTGCAGTGTCGGGTGAAGTGTGCTCACAGTGTGTTTCTATTTGTTTTTTAGGGAGTTTTGGGATACGGGATAGGCACGTGGGACTTCACAATACGTATCCGTTTCTCTTGTAATACTTCTTTGTAATTTTTCTCCTGCCTCTGATTTAAACCAATTTTATGGAATTCTAAGAGATTCTTTTAAAACTTTATCTCCTAATAAGTCCATCCTAATGTGAAAATATCATGAATTCAAAATCACAGGGACTACACCTAACTTGTGGCACAAGCCAGCTAAGCTACAAGGCCTGCATGAAACATCAGCCACTCCCATGCCCACAGTGATCTGAACCCAGAGGCCACTCCTGCTGCCCAACAGAAAAGACTGACAGCTATCACTAGCCCACGAGTCAAAAATCAGTTCAAGTATGATGTGTATGGAATGTATATCATTTCACATCACTGTAATGAAAAAATAAACATACATGGAGCCCCTGTAGTGAAGACCATATCTGCCCATAGTCATGGGAATGCTTTTCTTAATTCAATGGTAAAGTCACCTAACCCACAGCTCTCCAAACCTATCTCAGCCTGCTTCAGTGTTATGGAAAACTGGTGTCTGCCTGGGCTTAGACATAAGTAAGCTGCGACGATTGTCCAGCATTCTGGCTTCTTCTACCACGTGCTCTTCCTCAAGCCTAAACATACACCAGTTCACTGAAGAGCCTGATAGAAAACACAGATTGTGGGCCCATCCTGGAGTTTGGCTTCAGTAGGTCTGGAGTGGGGTCGGGGTGGGGGAGGGGGGGGACCAGAATCTTCCACTTATAACAATCCCAGGAGGACATTTATGCCGCTGGTCTTGGACCAGACTTCGAGAACAAGACTTTATGTGAACATCATTTGAGGGGGGTGGGTGGCTAGGGAGTGGGGAAGATTGTGCATGTGTATGTGAATGTGCCTAGACACAAATGTGATATCTCTGTTACACAGATACAAACAGATACCTCTGTTCAAGAGACAGAACCCAGAACCTTGCACATGATAGACCCGATGTCTACTCTTGAGTTACTCTCCACTTCCTCAGTTTGTGTTTTGTTTTTGTTTTGTCTGGTTGGCCTCTGACTCTTAATCCTCTGGCCCACCTCTTCAGTGTTGGGATTACAGACATATCACACCACGCTCAGCTGTATGTTGGGTCTATTTTAATTTTCATGACTGGCTGGAGAGCAATTGGATGTTGAAGAAAGTACATGGCAATAAAAACTAGGCCCTCCTGTTCCTAGATTCTTGATCCTCTGTACTTTCTCTTTGAAGTGGGATATTAATCCCTGCCTATACATTTTTGCAAGGGCATACATAGATTTATGAAAGCACTTGGAATAGTGCCTGGAAAATGGTTGCGCAATATAAGGCCACTATTATTATATTGATACACATGTAGCTAATTAATTTCCACATTCTTATAATGTTCACAAGTTGTAAACTATGAAATATATACAGACATGGGAACTGGTTAAATAAAGAATACTGCAAATGACGGGGTACCAAAGATCCACTAAGATTAAAGCTATGAAAGTTTGTTGACACTGGGTGATGGATAATTGTTTATGGTTTATTACTAACTGAAAGAAAGTTTGATTTGATATTATTTTAGATAAATAACACATGCATACAATGCATACATTTAAACTTATGTTTGCTTATAAAATTATGTAGATGAACATATGATAAAATGTTAGCTAGTGTACTCTTTACTGTATTTTCTAAATAGCCCTTCACATTTCTAAACAGACACATCACTTCTGTGAGTAATGCAGGAAACATATTAGATACCTAAGGTCCAATGAGTCTGTAAAACAGACTAATACACAGAGAAAGCTTTTCTGTAGGAACTGGGTTTTTGAGCATAAAAGCAAATGAGGTAATCATAAAAATATCCACAACCAAGATTTAAACTTTGATGAATCAAAAAGGCATACCCCAAATGCAAATTCAAATAGAAATCCTTAGAAAGAAATTAATGGCAGTATAAACAATTAAGTTGCCCAAATGAGAACACATCAAGTGTGCTTATCATTATAAAAGAAAAAGGGGAAGGGGTCTGGAGAAGTGGCTCAGCAGTTTAGAACACTTGTTGCTCTTGCAGAAAACCCAGGTTTGGTTCCCAGCACCCACATAGTGGTTCACAACCACCTATAATTCCAGTTCCAGGGGATATGACACCTTCTTCTGATCTCTGTGTGTACCTAGCATGTACATGGTACACTTATATACATGTGGGCGAAACACTCATACATACGTAATAAATAAATAAACAAAAACTAACAAAAAGAAAAAGACTGAGACCTAATGTAAAAATAGGTAAGACATCTAACCCAGCTCTTTATAAACAAAAACACAGGTTTAAAATGTCCCATAATATATGTGTAGGATCATTAACAAATTAAGAAGCAATGAAACGAAAATAAAAGGTATATTTTGATTCACCCCCATGACAGAGAAGTAAGTAGCAGCTTTTTGTATGAGCAAAGCAGCGGTGAAATAAAGACCTCGGCAAGCTGAAGGACTTACTGTCGTCCTGTTTAAGGTACGTTCCTGCAAGCAGCAGCCTGACAATGTCTGGGAGCTGATGAGATGTGCTCTCTTACTCCCTCCCACACCACTGAGCCGGGGGTCTGCATCTTAATGTGCACTGGGACACACGTGGGCACATTCATGATGGAGTAGGGCTGCTTCAGCATGTGGTTGTGCAGCAGACTGTTCAGGAGGGAGAAGTCTGGTAATATCCTTCAAGAACTTTAAAAAATATTAATGTTTTTTTCCTGTTTTTTTTGTGTTGTTGTTATTGTTTTTTCAAGACAGGGTTTCTCTATTTAGCCCTGGCTTTCCTGGAACTCACTTTGTAGACCAGGATGGCCTCAAACTCATGTAGGTCTGCCTGCCTCTGCCTCCCGAGTGCTGGGACTAAAGGTGTGTGCCACCACACCAGGCTAAAAAATAAATCAATGTATTTTAAAGCACAAATCTAACATGTATGTAGTTATTAGAGAGAAATAATCAGATAAAATAATAGATGTATGTACAGAGGGCACTGAAATCCTATTCTGAATAGCAAAACATTTGGCAGCAAGTTAAATGTCCAGGAGTGGAATGCTAACTAGGTGATGGAGTGATTTGCTGTTATTAAAAATAAAACTTTTATTGAATATTAAAAGTTATGGAAGATGTTTATGGTGTGTTAAGGAAAGCATGTCAGAAATTTATGGGTAGCATAATTATTTAAAAGTAGTTGTTGTCAAACAAAATGTGTTCACATGCATTTCAGGCTGGAAGAAGCATGATGTCATGTTTTCTCTGGCTCTTGTCTATTAAAATGGCATTTCCTTTGCTATACACGATCATGTTTCAGCTGGAAAATGTCACTTTACAATCAACTAAAAGCTATGAGAAAAGCACCATGGCCGCCTTTGCTGGCATCCAGCACACTACTTCTCTTCAAAATCTTGCTGGACAAATTTTTTTCCTTTCAAATTTCCTGGTTTGAAAAATTGCAAGGTGGCAACTCATTATTGTTTTAATTTTGAGTTACTTAAAATTAATGAGTTCTACACTTATTTTTAGAATCTGTTCTTGCACCGAATAATTTGGTTACATTATTAAGTAATGCAGATCACATTCTACAATAAAATGAATGCTTGTTTAGTTCAATTTCCCTTAAAAATTTCAGATTATTTGGCTGTGTGGGTTTGCTTGAGATGAAGGCTTGCACATCTCTCTTCTCTACATTCACTGCTATTCTAATTATTGGTGACTTTAAAATCACTTCGTATGGAAAAATTCTAACATATTCAAGAGTAGCTAGAAAAACACAAGGGACTCATAAACCCATCAAATAACCAATAATTATTGGTTATGCCAATCTTGTTTCCCTCTCTTCTCTTGAGTTGTTCTGAGGCAAATTTTATAAATTAATTAGCATGCAACTCTGTATCTAGCTCTGAAAGAAAAGTGCTCTTAAACACACAGAAAAATAGCACTATCTAGCTCACCTTCAAATGGACAATTTCTTAGTTTCCATCAGACATTTTCGCAGTTTTCAGAATTTTTAGTTCCTTTCCCCCACTCTCCCTCACATTTAATTCATTAGAAATAGAATTTTAAAATGTCAATGTGCTATGAAAAACCACTAATAACTCTCTCTGTCTCTCTCCTCTGTCTCTATCTCTGCCTGCCTGTCTGTCTGTCTGTCTCTCTCTCTCTCTGTAGGCCAGAGGTCTACCTCTCCTTTCTTTTCTTTTCTTTTCCTCTCTCTCTCTCTCTCTCTCTCTCTCTCTCTCTCTCTCTCTCTCTCTCTCTCTCTCTCTTGAGATGGTCTGTCATCGCCCCGGAGATTGCCCAATTGAGTTAGACTTGCTGGCCAGCCAGTCCCAGGGATCCTCCTGTGCCTGCCTCCCTAGCGAGGGGGTTACAAATGCCACACATAGGTACTGAGGAATCAAATTCAGGTCTCCATACTTGTACAGCCAACACTTTCTCACAGAGCTATTTCCCAACCCTGATATCTCTGTGAGGAGAAACCAAACTCCTCTCAGTGCCCTTTACACGGTAGAACATTTGCTAAAGAAACGTTGCCTATACTGTATTACCTTCCTAATCATCTCAGGGAGGACCACCTTCGTAAATGCCTCATTCCACCCTTCTGCAAAGGTGAGTGTATTGGTGGGCTTCCTTTCTTCCTCTCCCCCGCCTCCCCACCATTTCTTTCCTTCCCACTAATTTTTCTTTCCCTCTCATGATCTCATTCACTTTTCTAGTTTCAGCTTTCCCCACTTTGCTAAGGATTCTAAAGTTTATGCCCCCATTCCCTGAAGCACAGCTGAATTAAGTGAGATTAATGTGTTTCTTATCATAGAAATGGGTTAGGTTTTCTCTTGGTTGCTACTCAGCATTCCTAACCTGAATGAACTTGTCTCTGGTCCTTCTTCTTCAACTTACTGGAATTCTGCCCTTGGTATAACTTTCCCAGGACTCAGGGACACGTCTCCCCACAGACTAAGTGAGAGATCAAATCCAGCCAAGCTCCCTCCCTTTACCCCTTTTTTTCTAGTCTCATCTTTCACAGTAATGGCAAAACCTTTGCCATCAGCTACTTTAACTCGAGCCCCATTTCATTACTTGCAAATTGACTAACTTGCATGTCATTGAACCCCTTTAAGACTCTGGCTTTTTATTTTAAGTTTTAAAAATGGAACTGATAAGATTGACCTGACCAGATAGGAGTCTACATTGAGTGGCTAGTTAAAAAAATGGTAGCTACTGTCACCACCACCAGCACCAGCACCACCACCACCACCACCACCATGCCTTTGAACTGTCCTAATTACTGTAATTGTCACTAACCAATGGTTCTGAGCTTGGATGCACAGAAGGAACCACCTTTGGGGACTCTCCTCTGCCTAATGCCACAAGCACTTCTAGGCTATGTTTTCTCTCAGTCTCTCCAGCCTTACATGGACCCAGGACTTTTAAGCTTTAATTACTTAGTTTCAAATAATAATAATTTTATGAAGGGAAAGTAAACATAAGGCTTACTATTTGGCCATTATCAACTACATAGTTTAGCTTCAGCTATCACATCCACACTGCCATCCATTCCCACAAATTTTTTTATCATTCCAATTTCAAACTATGTCCACAATAAGCAGTTACTCCTTATGGTCTTCCTCGGATGGTCCTGGTAACTTCTGTTCTACTTTCTGTCTCTTATGAATCTGCCTATTCAAGTGTGAGGTAAGACAACTCATCCGGTGTCTGAACCATTGCACTCAGCTTATTTCACTTAACGTAACATTTTCAGGTAAGATGGCATCTTTTATCTCCATGGACTTATAACTTGAGGAATGGAGGGAAGTGACCTCATGGCTCCAAGGAGTATTATTATCAGTTTAGCATCTCTGTCTAGGTGCGTGCATGCTAGACAGAAACAAGCCTCTTTGATCTATAGAAGGAACAGAGGAACTTTTTATTCTTTTTCTTTTTGTTTTTGGTTTTTTGAGACAGGGTTTCTCTGTGCAGTTTTGGTGCCTTTCCTAGAATTCACTCTGTAGATCAGGCTGGCCTCGAACTCACAGAGATCCGCCTGGCTCTGCCTCCCAAGTGCTGGGATTAAAGGTGTGCTCCACCACTGCCCTGCTGGAACAGAGGAACTTTGATAGCAGCATGTAGCATCTACCTTATCAGCTCTTGGCAGCCATAGGATATCCTTCAATTTGTAGTAACTGCTATCCCACCTCCCTCCTGACCCTCCAAAAGAAAAACCAAATTGCTAGCCGAGGGTTAAGGATAGAAATGAGGGTAATAATGAGGACTGATAATGGAGGAATGAGCAGGATTATCATAGTAAAAAGCTATCAGGACCTTTAAAGATGCAGGATTTTAGAGAAAAAAATTACAAGATGGTTTTTGGTGAGCAGTAGGTAGAGTGGGAACCAGACAAGCAAGTGTCATCACTGACAATGTGATGAGGGGGTGGGTAATGTTCATACACTGCAGAAACTACATCCATCCTGCTCAGTCCCATGGTGAATACTGGACAGAAGGGTGAGCATGTCAATCTTGAGACTTGCTTTGAAACATACCGGGTTCAATTAGAAATCCAATATCACTTGAGTGAATGTAGATCCCATGCGCATGTCATTTAACAAGCTGTCACTTTAGGGCAGACATTCCCAGATTTGGGAATATGAAAGAACAGGGCATTGTTTTAAATTATGTTACTGACAGCGGGCTCAGACACCAAATTGTTTCTTATTCAGTGAGGCTCAACATCCTTATTTAACAATATCTGTATTGGACAAAAAGAACCCAAACCACCCAACTTCCATCAGTATAGTAGGCATTTTCTAATGGAAAGGCTACTTTAAAACTCAAAAGCGTTAGGAAGAAATGTGAACACATTAGCTATGTGGATTGTCCTTAGCTACATGAAGAGCAATTCAAGTTCTCATGGTTTCTGTCTTTCCTATTTCACCAGAGATTGCCAAAGGTTCATCATGAAACTGTCCATTGCTTTAGAACATTCTGGAAACTTTATAAGCTGCACACCTCTACTCGATGCTAAGCTCTGCCTTGACTGATTCTTCATAACCTATTTATGCTAACGAGGAGTTTTAAGGTGCAGAAGAGAGCAGATTGGAGCTTGAATAGCCTAGGGAGGCCGAGGCAGGATCTGCAGGTTTGGTTTTGACCACTGCACCATAAATTCTGCAACACGTTTGGGTCTATCCCACACTTTCTCCCTCTTCTACTTTTTCACTCAAGAAACCCGGTGGCAAAGGAGCTGGTGATAGCACATCTCTGGGCTTGTTTTTTTTTTTAAGAAAAGAAAATAAGAAATAGATCAAATTCTATACCTTGAGATCATCCAGGTTTGCTGGAAGGGGGCCTGGTTTGAGAGAGGAGACACCAGTTTGTCCAGAAAGACTGTTTTTGACAGGGGACAGAGGGGTATTGCTCAATGGTGTTGAAGAAGAATTCGGATTTCTGACCATCTGTTCATTTGGTTCCCTGAAAAACAAAGAGTCACTTAGAATGCAATCAGACCTGTGTGCGGGAGCTTGGAACAAACTCAGAGTAATTGCCTACAGAAATCAGGCAGGCAACAAATCCACAGAAGAGGATGGGGGAGGAACAACATTGCAGAAAACCGCCCAGGTTCATTTTGAGGACACAGAAAGGGGTGATGGAGACTGTGGCGTAGCAAAGCATGCGCGTTCACCCACGACCTCGCTGAGGCACTGTTCTGGAGAGGCCTGGGCGTGCCATGGAAATCTTAATCATGCTCAGCTTCGGATACATTTAAAACTGTGACCCAAGGGTGGCCAAAGAGCGGTGAAACAACCCCCGTGCTACCTGTATGGGTGAGGATGTTGTCCTCCTGGAATATGAATAGGACCTATCAATACGGGTACACAGCCCGGGCTCAGGGGTCAGTCTCCCAAGCTGTCACTTTAGCAGTGAACTCGAACTGCCAGCAAAGCCAACTCTGCACTCTTAGACATTCCACAGTTTAGTTTGGACATGCTAGGAGTTTCCCTCTTCTCTAAAGGACCTTGATTTTATTTGCTTCCACTCAGCCCCGTGGTCCTGAACATGTGTGCATGGTTTCTAAAGAGAGTCGTGTTCCAAACATGCCAGACAAGGACACGATGTAACACAGGACACACTGGTCCCAAGCAGCGGACCCTGTAGGCCTCAGACAGAGACGCTATCTTCTTCTACCTCTGCCCAGAAGCCTCCACCCCAGCTTGCTGTACTCACTTGAGGTGTGTTTGGTGTATCCCAGGGTAGCTGAACCGCTGCTGTTGCTGCTGTTGCTGCTGCTGCTGCTGCTGCTGCTGCTGGCTGAGAATCTGCAGCTGCAGAAACAGCTGCTGTTGCTGGAGCAGCCGGGCATAGGCGGAGTCCATGGGCGGAGGGGACTTCTCTGCCTTCTGGTCTGGAGGGATGTACTGGTGGTATTTAAGTTTCTTCACCTTTGGTTTGGGGTCCTTGGGCTTCTTGTGGCGGTTCTTACTATCACCCAAAGACTTGGACTGCAAAGAGAAGGGAAACATGGCCTGGGTTTTAGGTGATGGTGGTGAGGAGGTTTTCTCAAATCCCGGAAATACTATGCATGGTGTATAGTTCCCAACAGAGGTCATGTAGCAGATGAACAGATCTGCCATGAAATCCTCAACCTCACTGCACATAGGCACCTTATGTCATACAAGGGGCTCTTGGAGCTTTCCTGGAGTGGAGTCCAGCGGAAGTCTGAGCTTCAGTGGCTTATGTAAGGCTTACAGATAGCTTAGCACTCTGATGAGGGGTCACTCGTGACAGTGTATGCAAGCACCTCAGTTAAACACATAAGCTGACTTGTTAAGGACATGGGCTTAGATGAAGTCAACATTGTCTCTACTGATCCAGAATGTGGTTCACAAAGCCAGACACACCTGCACACTTGTCTTCCCCTCACCTCTACCAAATACCCATGTGTGGCAGGAAGCCATGCCCTCTGAAATGTTGATTCTTTACTATGAGGAGGGCTACCCACCCACTGCACCTTTCCAGGAGTCACTTGCTGTGCATTATGATCTGCGCACAGTGAAGGGACTTAAGGGCGCAACTTTGGGGATTAAGAGAAATGTGTGAATGTGATGCAATTATGTAAGTTTAATATCTCTAAATTTCATCACATGTAAGAGGAAGAAAACATTATTTAATTTGCACCTTAGTGTTCAATAAAAAGACCATAAAAAGATCATCATAGGAGTCAGCTTAATAAGTAAAGGCACTCGCTGCCAAGCCTTGAGTTTCATTCTAAGAACCCAGAATGGTGGGAAGAACTGACTTACATTGGTTGTCTTCTGACCTCCACATATAGGCTGTGGTATGCTATGTGTGCATATATTGTTACATACACCCATGTACAAATACACACACACACACATACACACACACACACACACACACACACACACACACACACACACACACTCACATACATACACAGTAGTGGTGGGGGGTTGCTGCTATTAAGATCATAAAAGTAACAAATGTCCTTTTGGAGGATAATTCTATACCTTCTCTGGAAAGCAGAAGGCCTTCATATGTTGGTAAGCAATACGTCTATTATCATTGAGTAGGAAAAAAAAAATCCAAACCTGTTTTTATTATAGGCGGTTGAAAGGAAGAGAGAGCGAGCTAGCATGGGCGTCAAATTGGAATGAAAGTGTAGTTCCACCATTGTACAGAAGAGGGAGCTCCTGGCACAGTCTCCAGCAGCAGCAGCCTCCAGACGTCAACCACAAAAAGCACATTTGAGTGTGACCTCCAAGGAGCCTACAGTGTTCTTTACTCTGACTCAGACATCCTATCACTGTGGGCACTTTTGTGGGTTTTTTTTCTTTTGTGTTCTTTTTTTTGAGTCTTCCTCTTGGAGACTAATTAATAATAGTTGGGAGTATTTCTATGAGTTTGGTGGTTTTGTATTTCCCTACTCTATAATCGATTGGCATTCCAGTTAATTAATCATATTTCTGTACTGGGTGAGTTTCTAAAGGGTCTGGTGACCATCTCCCTCCAGCTCAGCTACTGTTCAGGCCTCATCCCCTCAGACTTGCGTTGACAGGGGGTGGGTTGTCTTATTGCTGACGCAAGGGACCTGGAGATGCTTTTGTTCCCCTATATTACCATAGCACGGGTACAGGAACATTCCAGAAGCTGGCGAGTGACAAACATTATTGGCCTAACAGGACTGTATGGTTTTATTCTTCCTGTAAGCACAGGGGATGCTTGGCCTCTGTCTATTTGCACGTTTGTTTTCCTCTTCATAACGCACAGGACACAGAAGGCACCCACATGCATTTTCCTGAAGGTAGATCAGGGGTGGATCCACTGTGGTGTTCAAGTCCCAGGCTAAGATTCATCAACTGGAAAAAGGCAGGGAATACCCTGTGGCTAGAGATGGCAAGACGTCCTAATGTAGCACTGATTCAAATGCACACACACACACACGCACACACACACACACACACACACACACACACACACACACACACACACACCCCTTTACCAAATAACATGCACCCCAGCAGCCCACAACCAATGTGCTGGTGATCCTCTGAAAGATGAGGCACAGCCCCATGGCGGCAACAGGACGCAGTTCTTCGTCCTCGTTCCTGGGTCTCCTCTCCAGCTGTGCAGACCTCCTTCCTCTTTGACCTTCAGCCTGCTGTCACCCGCGACAACCTTTCTGTCTGACTTTCAAAGCTGGCTCCAACTTGGGAAGCTTTGTGTGCCCTCCTCACTGAGTATGTTGAGGGTACTGGACAGTGGTCAAATCACCTACTGAGGGAGTGAGGAAGAATGAAATCCAACCTCCTTTCCCCTGCCTAGGCTACCAACTGCCTGGGCAGGAGAGCCTCTTTAATGATTGAGGTAAAACACAAGGAACAATTTTGTACATTTGCAATTTTGTGTGAGCATCATCTCTATCCAGTCCTGTAAAATTCCCATTGCTTCCAAATGAGTCCTTTACCACTAAGCAATCACTCTTCACTCCCCACTCTCCCCAGCTCCCACAACTGCCAATCTCCATCTTGTTAAATGTGATTACTTTGGGCATTTTATACACAAGACCCAGATGAATGGATTTTGTGTCTGACTTCTTATGCTTGACATAATGTTTTCAGGGTTAACTCATGTTGTGGCAGCTGTCGATATGGCATCCTTTTTTTATGACTGAAAAATATCCAGTGGCTTGGCTATACCATGACTTTAGTCATCCATCAGTTGGTGGGCATTTGGGTTGGTTCAAGCTTGTAAATATGGCAAATGGCATTGCTTTGAAGGTTCAGGGGCTTGTTTTTAGTTCTTTCAGGTGTATACCTAGGAGTGGAACCGCTGGAGCACATGATAAATTTATGTTTAATTCACTGGGGAAATGGCAGACCATCCCACAGCAGTTTAAGCATTTTACATTCAGGCCTGGAACGTGTTGGGCTTCCAGCTGTCACACATCTTCATCAGCATCTGTCATTTCCACCTTGTTTTGATGGAAGCTATCCTAATACACATGGAATGGCATTTCATTGAGGTTTCAACTTTGCACCTCTTTAAAGACTAACAACATGGAGAACATTCCATGTGCTTCCTGAAAACGTCTGTGTCTCTAGAAAAGTACCTGTCCAAGCCTTCTCAGCACATCTTTCATACTTCCACAAGACATTATTATGGTTGATGATGGCCTGAAAACCCAGCTAGACTAGAGGATGGAGTGATGTTCTTGCTGGTTTGTGACACAGCCTCTTGGAGATTGCCAGGTACCTTCCTCTTAGGATTTTTCTGATTTTCTGATCTGTGAAGTCTCTCTCCAGCCCCATGAGAATCTCATCAAGTCACTTGGGCTGAGAGGTTCTACCCTTGCTCAACTGCTTTCTTCTAAGAAGCTTTCTAGATGTGTCTCAAACTTGTTCCAAATCCTGTGGCCACTCAATATGGTTCCTTATGTTGTGGTGACTCCCAACCATAAAATTATTTTTGCTGCTACTTCATAACTGTAATTTTGCCACTGTTATGAATCATAATGTAAACATCTGATATGCAGATGGTCGTAGGCAACCCCTGTGAAAGGGTCATTTGACTCCCCGAGGGGTCATGACCCACAGGCTGAGAACCTCTGGTCTAGATGAACCTAGAGGTGACGCATCTTCAACAATTGGCATTTAGGTGTTGACCATTTAGAAGGTCTGGGCAGTCATGGAGAAGCAAGCAGCCCTGTGGAGCAGTGGAGTTTGCGTGGGGATGTGTTTCTTTTTTTCAATCTGTCCTTCCTCTGAGCTCCTAGCACACCTTCTTGGTATGGGGATGTTTTGACAGTTTTACTAATTTGAATTATAAAAAATTTAAATAATTGACTAGCAATACTACCGTGATTCCTCTTTATAGACAGCTTTACTGATAATGGGAATCTTTTTCTCCTCCATCTAATGTGCACAAGGCCATCCACTTAGAAGATAAAACTATTACTTTGTCATTGACTATTACTTTAACTTACAACCTAAAAAAAAAAAAAACCCTGAAGAGTCATGTCAGCAGGTACTGAAGGTGGTATTAGACCTGAAAAAGCATGTCCCCCACCAACTCCAATAGAAGTTAGCTAGTGCAGAGTATTACCAGAAAACCAAACAACTGCCCAGCGGCTTATTAGGAAACAGTGCTCTGGGAACAGCTGGAGATAATAGTGGGGAAATTAAGCATGAAATCCAGTGGTAACTGCTGCTGTCTCCTGGGAGTGTGACCCCTCCTCCCATGCTCGCTTCCCACATGTGTTAGAGCTTTGCAACACCCACGGCTTCAATGCTGCTCCCTCCACATAAACACAACTGCTCCGGATGGCCTGTACAGCCCTCACAAGTCCTGTGTGCCTTGCAGTCAGCTCTGTCTTTCCTCAGGGTGAGCTTGGGAAATCTTCATTTTTTTTTTTTTATTTTGTGTTGTGTAGCCCAGGCTGGCCATGAACTTACTATTCTATTTATTTTCCTCCTGGGTGCTAGGATTACAGGCATGTACCACCTTGCTTGGCTAGTGAAATCCCAGCCAGATACATGGTTGGCTGAGCTATACTTCCAAAGTGATACATACAGGCTTCTTCAGTGCTGAGAGAATATATACATATACACACACATATACACATACATACATACATACATACATATATATATATGGTATAGGCCACTCTGTGACATTTCTGGTGCCTGAACCTGTGTGTGGGTCCATGTGACCTTCCTCATGCCCACAGGACTGATGTGAGAAGCCCTGCTTTGCACGGCTTCAGTGAGCCTGGCCTCAGGCAGAGGCTGGGGGATAGACCAGTCCATACCTTTACAGCAGCGTGCACAGGGATTGGGGTGCTGAGGGGGCCGAGCCCCTGCTTCCCGGGGTCTGACTGGTTGCTTGGCTGGGAGGCCACATCATTCTTGTCACTTTCTGCACCAGGACCAAGATCCTGAAATCCAAAGTGTAGTGTTACCAGGGCACAAAAATGAGAGGTGTTGCATCACTCTGTTGAAGATCTGCTGTTTTCACCCTGGCTTCCTGTCCTGGTGACATCAGGTGCTCCCTGCAGGAGGCCATCCCTATCTGTCACCTACCCCAGGGTACCACTGAGAGACACATGGGCAATCTCAGCACCAATTCCAGAAGATGGGATGTACTTCTGACTTGATCTGGGCAAATTGGACATCTGGTCACCCTGAAGGAGGGCTCTACAGAATAATGAGAGGGAAAGGAAAAGGGGAGAGTGGGAGCAAAAGTTCTGAGAAAAAAAAGCACAAGCAAAATGGGGAGAAGGGCAAGTGTCCAGAAGTATGAATAATGCCTGAGAAGGTGTGCAAGTGTGTGTGTAAAGATAGAACTACACATGTGTCTCAGTGTATGGGAATGTTTGTATGTGTGCATGTGTGTAAATAGATAAAATTATGAATATGTGTCTCAGTGTGTAGGAATATGTGGGAGTATATGCATGTGTATTAGTAAATGTACATGTCTCTTTGCTGGGCATGTATGTGTACATACATGTGCACACATGTCTCAGGGTATATGCATGTCTTTGTGAATGTGTGTTTGTGTGTGTGTGTGTGTGTGTGTGTGTGTGTGTGTGTGTGTGTGTGTGTGCGTGCAGTAATAAGTATGCGTACCTTGCACCTTCCTGGGCATGTGCATGCATTCATGCATGCATGTATGTGTACATGTATGCTGATTAAATGTGTATATATGCATGATCATACATGTACCCACATGTGTATGTATGTATTGGTTATACGTATGTATGCATGTCCACTCATATGTCAGGATATAAATATATAAATATCTATGTGTATATGAGTACACATCTGAGTGTATAAGTGTGCCTGTGCATATGTTTTTATATACAAATTATATCAGGGGAAGAATTGGCAGAACACCAAACAAGTTAATCTGTGCATATGTGTGCTTGTGCATGTGTATATATGTATTAACATGGATCCATGTGTGTGTCTCATAAAGAAACATGTTTTTATGAGAGGTATGTTTCTGTCTGCTGAGAGTTCTATGAAAGGTATAATTCTCTTCCCTTCCTTTCCTACATTCCTATGCTGTGACTCAGCACAAAGGGGTGGGGGTCCTTACACCCCTCTTGGGGGGCCAGAACTGACCTTCTCAGTTCTCCCCTGAGCCCTGGCATCTGTCACAAGCTTTTCTCCCAGAGTCTCGGTGTCCTTAGAGAAAAGACACGAGGCCGCTGCTGCATTTTCCCTGCCTTGCTCAGTGCTTGGCCCCTTCTTCCCCCTCTCCTGGCGGAAGCAGAAAAGAACTTGTCTTTTCCTCAAAACCATTCTTCAGTCAGAAGCCGAGGAATCTGCTGTCAGAAGAATACGTGCGAGTGGTCTGATGGACTGTTTGATGTTCGGCTGCGAGGCTCAGCATGGGCGTGCAGGGGCAGGGGGATGCCTTGATGCTGAACCCCTGCACAAGGAGTGCACACCCAGCCCTGCTTCTTACGCCTCCCATCCCCTCCCACTTCACATTTGCTTCTTGGCAGCTTTGAGTTTGCCCTGATGGAGTGGAGACAGGAGCGACAGTGACCGGTGACCATCATGGCTTCGGGAAACTGGACCCTGAATAAACACTACTGCAAACTTCTCCCCCTCTGGACGGACGTTCCAGTAAGAAAATAACTTCAAATACAAGTTGGGCATCCCTGATCCGGCATTCCAATATCTGAAATGCTTCAAAATTTGAAACCTTTTGAGGCCGACAAGAAACCATGAGAAGAAAATGCCACAGTGTAGAACTTAGCTTCATGCACAAAAATTATGAAAAGTACTATATAAAATTACATTTAGGCCATGGGTATGTATGCATATCCAAGGCATAAATGAATTTTGTGTTTTGACTTGGATCCTAGCCCCAAGACATATTATCACGAATAGATGCAAATAAATTCTAAATCTAAACACTTCTGGGCCCAAGCATTTTGGGTAAGAGACAGTCAAAGTAGATGTTTAATTCCAGTCCATAAAATAATCCCTTGGTCACCAGGAAGAGCGAAGTCTTCTGAGGGGGGAGGGAGTGGCCTGGAGGCTTCTTTCTAGAGAAGAGTGTTGCAGAACCAGGGTCAAAAGCATTTCCACACCGGGCAGTGGTGGCTCACGCCTTTAATCCCAGAGACAGAGCCAGGTGGATCTCTGTGAGTTCAAGGCCAGCCTGGTCTACAGGGCAAGATCCAGGACAGGCACCAAAACTACATGGAGAGAATCCCTGTCTTGAACCCCACCCCCCAAAAAAAGCACTTCCACATCACATGTCCACGGCACTAGCTCTCCTTTCCTACTGTGTGTGCACCCCCCCCCCCCCGCACTGACATCTCTCAGGGGTCCTATGATGACATCATGTTTGTCTGAGGATAGTTCCCATCATGTGGCTTTGTGAGACATTCTGTGTGATCCTGGAATCCACACAGCTACTTAACTGTATGGAGCAATAGTTCCTTGTCTGTGGTCCTCGGCATCAGTGATGCTCATCTGTCAGGGACTGTGATCTCATGTGAGGAGATATGAAGTGCCCAGTGTAGGCAGGGGACCAGAGTGAGCATTAGGGCAGGAGATGTGGTTTATTAAACTCATCATTGTTCTTTATAAGGGTGCTTCATATTTTTGTATGCATTTACTTTTAAGTCCTTGTGGGTTTGTCTAGAAAGAATGAGAACTGAGCTGAGTAGGGGCGGTGTGCTGGCTTCGGGCTGGCATGGGTTAGAAGCTACTGGTGTCACCTGCTTTGCTGATAGTCAGCACCTCCATCTTTCCACCAGCCCCCCCCCCCATGTCCTCTGAGTTTGTTATCAGTCCTGCCAGGAGATGGTTGACCAATCATATAATCTCACCATGTCAACTTACCTTGTGCATGAAATGGAGGTAAACTAATCTACTTGCTTACAAGGTAAGTGGAAAGCTAACATCATGAGGGTTTCTAATGTTTCTATGACCCACAAGTGCCTGCGCCAAATAGGTTGAGAAGGGACATTAAGAAAATACATCATCGGGTAACTTTGGTGTGGTGGTATACAGTGTAATTTCATCACTTAGCCTGAGCCAGGAGTTTGAGAGTAGGCTATGCTACATAGTGAGACCATCTCAGGATAAAACCACTACCAGCAGCAGACAGGGGTTATAAGCAACACCAGCCATAGCAGTGTTGATATGAAATCTAAGTGACCAGACAAGACTGTGAGGCAGGGGCGGTCTGTTTGTTTTACCTGGATTGTGTCCAGAGGGCCAGCCAAAGGAACCTCAGTGGCTTTGATATCTGGGGGCGATCCCACAGAGCCCTGGGGGTCTTCGCTCCGAGTGTGGTCTGGGGAAAGCCCATCACTGCTGCTGTCCTCTTCAAAGGCAAATGCGTCTGCTGATTTGGAGTAACTCACCTCCGTACCTGAGCAAGAGAAAACCAAGACGGGACCAGTGGCTTGGAGCATCAGAGAGCTGTTTTGAAAGCACTGCTAAGCATTGTCCCAGGCTGAAACACATGCTTCTCTCTCCAATGTAGTGCAAGTTCAGGGAAGAGTGAAAATGTATTTTAAACAATTAGATTTTCTACACGAGAACATATGTTTAAAAAAAGAAGTCTGTTGTTGGGGAAAACGGGTGATGTAGCAAAGCTTCTCGCCGTGCACCAAACTTTATTTCCAGGCTGAGTCATTTCTCAACATTTTCTATGGAGCCTATGTCCTTTTGAAAATAAATCAGGAAAGGCAAAGGAATGAGCGTGCTGTGAGGCCTCTGGAAGATAATGCGGAATGACTGCCCCTCTCCTTTGGGCTTTCCGGCACAAGGGAATCAAAACGACAGCCTGCCAGTTGCTTCATCTTCAAAGATAAAGCAGGGCACATGGGCACAAAATGTTTAGCAAACTTTGCTAATAAGGAGAAGTGAGGCCAGCTACTAAGTTTAAATTCCTAGATGTCAGATTTAGCTTTCATCACCGAAGTTCACGTCCAAGGAGCCACCCAACCAAGACAACCAGCAATGAGAAAAGCCAAAAATCTACCTCAGAGACTTCATCCTGACTCTTATTTTCTTAATACGTAGATTTTATTTTCATGGCTAATGTTTTGTGTCTTTGCGAGTCCTTCAGCACCCACCACCCACCTCCAGACCCTTCCTCTGTCTCCTGGGTCATCTTTCTAGGGCAACAGAGAAGTTGTGTTGGAGACAGAGGCCGTCAGCCCAGATAGGTCTATAACAATCTCCTGACCTGTTTCTCACATTTGATGTCACCCATTCTCCAGTTTGTTGTCCAGCTAAACAGTACACAAAGTGCCAAAGCCACAGAGTTCCCCTGACCCCATTCCCAGCACAGCCCTTCCAAAGGAATTTCAGCATTATCAGGAGCTTTTACAGCCCCTGCTCTGCAATCACAATCACAAGAACTTTTGACTCTTGCTCGGTATAGATAAGAGGCTGGGCTCTCACTGTGGCGATTGCAAAGGCCTCGAGGAGCTGGGAGGAATGGAACAAATGTGGTTTGGGGCTTGTCATCACAACCACTGTTGGCATGTGTCACAGACTCTCTGGACATCCGAGTGTCAAATCAGAAAAGAGGCCAGACAAGGACACAGTGAGTGGAAACTCCAGCAACTAGCCCTATGGGAAGCCCACTAACCTGGAGGGGCTTACATGCCAGGACACCTGCTTCATGGGTCATGAGTAGAAGTCAATGTTGCTGTTATAATTAGCAGAGTGGAAGACTCGTGATAAAAATTCACCTAGTATAAAAATACCTAATGTACATATTCTACCTCACAATAAAAGTCAGTAGTCTCTTCTAGATTTAACTGTATGGACACAGGAAGATATATGCAAAATCAGAAGTTTTAAGTAGACTGGACTGGGTAAAATGTACTATTGAAGGCCTGGGGTGTAACTCAGCAATAACGTGCTTGCCTAGCAGACACAAAGTCATAGGTTCGACTCCCAACACTGAAAATGATATTTTACACACACACACACACACACACACACACACACACACACACAGAGAAAGAGGGGGGGGAGAGAAGATAACTTATGGTTTTCCTACTCTGCAGTTTTTATTTTTTATTTTTTTTTTTTTTTGGTTTTTCAAGACAGGGTTTCTCTGTGTAGCTTTGCACCTTTTCTGGATCTCGCTCTGTAGCCCAGGCTGGCCTCAAACTCACAGAGATCCACCTGGCTCTGCCTCCCGAGTGCTGGGATTAAAGGCATGCGCCACCACTGCCTGGCCAGTTTTTATTTTTTAAAGAGATCTTTCCACATGAGAGAAAAGACTATTCTCACTTAACAAGTAATTGTATAGTGTTCCACTGTATTAGTGGGAACATTTAAAATGTATCCTTGTACTCTGGTGTGTGTGTGTGTGTGTGTGTGTGTGTGTGTGTGTGTGTGTGTGTGTGTGTGAGTGGAAATTAAACCTAGGGCCTTGTGCATGCTAGGGAAGCATTCTCCCACTGAACTGTAATCCCATTCTTATACATTTTTAGCATACACACAAAACAACGTCCAGTACCAAATGGTCAACCCTGGAAACAGACTGAACAGGTTATATTTAGAAATATATATATATTTAATAAATGTACACATATATGATTACAATTAGTGGAAAATTGGTCATGAGTCTGTAGGAGGGTGGAGAGTGGGTATATGGGAGGATTTGGAGGTAGGAAAGGGAAGAGAGATGCTGAATTAAATTTTCATCTCAAAACTAAAAATAAAATGAAAAAATAAGAAAGATTAGAGAAGTGCAGAGAATTTCATAAATCATTTTTTTTTTACCCAAAAGCCCAAATAAATGAATGTTAGTATTTATGTCAGAAACCTGTTTCTCCTCTGGTTAGAAAGACTCCCTGGATGTGTGCCAACTTCTTCATTGAGACCAGAGTCTCTCTTCTATCCCTTTAGTTTTCTCTTCCCAATTCTGACCCCTGTCCCTCTGGTCACACTCTCGGTTCTTTAGCTCTCAGAACACTCTAAGCCCTGCAGACAACCTCTGCATGTCATTTTCCTGCATCAAGTGGGATTCTGTGCATGTTCCTTTCTCAGGGGAATCAACCCCTGAGATCTCCTAAGGAAGACCCTTCTGGTTGCTTCTGTGAAGATACAGATATATTGTCTACTCAATCCATCTAAAAACAATTTTATGAACTATGCTTTCATTGGTATTTTTGTTTCAATTTATACATATAATGAAAAGTTTTATTCTTGTCACAGTCTTTCCATGCGCACTGAGGATCAGGTAGACAGGAGAAGGTGGGGGTGGTGTTGGCTGCTGCCCACCCACTTGGGAGACCACAGCATGTCATTGAGATCTACCTGGCTCGTGCCCTAAGCCAATGCTGCTCACCATCTCAGAGACTCCTGCATGTGGTCTTACCAGTCCCTCAGGAACACCATCTTCTCTGCTCATGAGAACACTCTGAGGAGTTCATTGTCTCACGTCTCTTCCCATCTCCTTCACTAGGAGGGGACTGGGCCTTCTCTGCGTGTTCTGATGTTTCATGTGACAAAAATGTCACTCCCCACCCCAGTCAACCAGAATATGGCATTCCAAATGTGCAAAAATTAGGGAGAAATGAACTGAAGTGTGGAACTGTCCCACTTTCTAACATATGGGTAGAAATGTTAGAAAAAGCAGGGAGAAAAGGATAATGTTTTTCTTCTGACAATACAATGACCTGATGATATCTAAGTGGGGGGCATGAGAGAGAGGAGGGGGCAGATTTGTACAACAGTGACAACTAGAATAAAACAGATTTGTGAGTCCTCAGACAGGCCCAGGGAGCCCAGGCACGTCCACAGTTTCTCAAATCTGGCTGACTGCTGGGGATACCGAAAGTTCTATTTTATGCGACTATTTACTGAGAGTGAACTCCCAGCCTTTGGACTCTCAGAGTCACTTTACAGAAGAGGGTGGCTAAACAACCGTCCTCCCTGCTAGCCATAAAGCCCTTGGGTGGAGTCACCAGTTATTTAGGGAGACTCAGCAGCCTGCCTTGGGCAAGGAGTGCAATAGGGCAACAAAGGATCTGCTTCTGTACAAGTTATACACTGAAGATGCTCCCACTCTGATCACTGGCAAGTGGTGACCTCAAGTCAAGACACGACAATGATTAAAAAATAAATAAAACGTCTAGAAGTAGAGAGTTTGGAATAAGGGCGTAGATGGTATCAGCTTGCTGTCTGTAGGTTTCACATTCTTGGCACTCACTGGGGCTGACACAATTGCATCTGTCCCGAACATATACAGGCTTTGTTCTCACTACAGCTCCCCTGGAAGTGAGTCTAGTAACTTTTTACCTAGTATTTGCATGGAACTAAACATGACAGTTAATACATCGATGATTGACATAGAAGGGAGAATCCTATGCATGGATTATGTGCCAATGGCATTTCATTTTACAGGAGGGACTGGAGTATCCTGAATTTGCCATCTGTGGGGGGTCCTGGAATTAATCCCCTGTGGATATGGAGGATCAACTTTCTGTAATCAGTTCTATTTTTCCCTCCCAGGCTGAAGGGAGGGGATTTTCAATGATTTCACTCACTTCCACCCTTCACACTTCAAGAGGAGTCGAGGTGATCAGATAAGATATGGTAAAGAGGCTGAAAGTCAGGAGAAAGAGGCTGTCTGTGGATCTGTCTGGGATAACCGGAGAATCTGTCAAGGAGACGTGGCCTGGAGAGTGTCTACTGCAGGGAGGCAGAGGTGATAGCAACACGAAGTTGTCTGAGAACTCTCTTAGAGGAGGAGGGCTTGGGTGGAACCTGAAATAACTGCCTGCTAGGGACAGGACAACAGGAGGGGGCAGCATCTCGGGTGAAGATGGAGAGAGGAAGAGATACCAAAGGGGTTGATGAGCAGAATTAGGGGTGAGGACGAAAGTCCCTTAGTCAGGGGAGAGGATTATTCAGGAGCCAAATCCTACAGAGTCATAACCTAGGAGACTACATCATCAAATCATCTGCCAATCATTTAGAGGCTCCCTGCTTAAGCCAGTGGAAGGAGGAAGCCATGAGTCCACACAACCAAACACAAGGAAGTTGTTCCCACTCACACAAAGAAGCAGGGTGAATGCCAAGTCCCCTAATGTGACCGTCTGGTACCTAGAAAGCATGAGGCTGCTGTGTCAGATTCTGCCAACAGGTACATTTGAGGACCATGATGAGATGTGCTATCATGTGGACCCTGCCAGTTACTCCTTCAGGATTGCAAGTGGTTTCGGTTTGCCACTGTGGGGGCAGAAGAGGAGGGAAGGGAAAGGAGTCGCCACACAGCTACACAGTTGCTTGGTTCAGGCTTAGAGCAAGAGCTGGAACAGTGGAGGAGCCCCCTCCGACCTCCCCCTCCCCGCCCCTGCCAGAGCTGCTGCTGTTGCTGCTGCTGCTGCTGCTGCTGCT